AAAAAAAAAGATTCTGGTCTTCTTTACAATGAGTTGTAATCTATACTGAAGGCTGGGCTCCTTGATCTTCATCAGCAAGGGCTTCAAGTCCTCCTCACTTTCAGCAGGAGAGGTTGTGTCACCTGCGTAAGTCTTCCTCCAGTCATGCTGCCACATTCTTCTTCATATAATCCAGCTTTTAAGATTATTTGCTCAGTATATTGATTGAACAAGTGTGGTAGGAGGAGGCAAGCCCCAGCACACATCTTTCCTAACCAGGCAAGATGTTCAATAACACGCATTCACAAAGGCAGAACCATGCCTACCCATCTAATACATGGCATTACAAAGCAACGAGAACATTGATGGAGTGGGGCATTCTCTCAAAAAAATATATCAGGACCTACTAAGATAGTGTAGTGATATAGCAGTGAACAAAACAAAGAAATGGGGTTAGGACCCTTATAAGGAGGAGTAAGCAAATAAATAATATATTTTCAAAGGAAGTGCTTTAGAAAAAAATAAAGGACATCAGGGGAGGAAGTCATTACTTTAGCTAGGAATAGTAGAGACGGCATCTCTGAGGTAGTAACAGTTGAGAAGAGCCCTAGATTTTGAGAACAAGCCCACTCGTGGTCATCCTGTGGGACAGGGTAGAACTGTCCCTCGGGTTTCCGAGGCTGTAACTTCAGGGACATGGAAAGCCTCCCCTTTCTCCCGCGGATAGGCTGGCGTTTTCAAATTGCTGACCTTGCGGTTAAGCGCCTATGCATAACCACCACGCCCACCAGGGCTGCTGAGAAACTATTCAGCCCGTGGAAAATTGTTGAGGTGTGAAGAAGTTTGTTGGAAGAATAATAATCAAGCAGTGTAACTGGAATGTTACCTGAGAACACGGAGAGAGAGAAAAGAAACATGGAAACACTGTAAAATTGGGGTAAGATAGTTTTCTTTTCACTGTGAGAACAGGAATTGAAATTTCTGTAGCTTATTCCCCCAGCCGTTTCGGGCATTACCGTGTCACAGAGGCTTTCCTTAACTGCCTTTTTACCATTCCACCCTTATCAGAGTTGCCCGATCATTTCCAAATCCTACCCTCTCTCAAACCCTTCCGTTACTACCTCGGAGCTAGCTCCTCTAACCACTCGGAAAGGAAGGGCCAATCGCTGCCTAAGGTCATCCTGCTTGGTAGCGGGTCAGTGAGCGAGAGGAAGACTCCTCACCAGATGGGTTGACACCTCGTGACTACCAGGGGATCACATACAGCCACTCCCGTCTATCCTACTGTTGAACACAGGGATGCTCAGGAGGGGCAGGGGCTGGGCGGCCCCGGACAGGAATGGTATTCATTTATTCCGAGGATGGCCCCTCCTCCACCTGCAACTAGATGCATGGCTCTGTTTTAATGTCGGCTCTCTTCTCAGTACCTCCAGCACGACTTCATCATGCCCAGGTGGCGCTCAATAGCGCTACGTGGCCTCCAAGATGAGATACTGTATGAAGTGGTCGGCACCCTTTGTGTGGCCTGCTGCTGGGGGAGCCTAGCATCGCATTGCATAACTCTCAGGAAGGCTCTCCAAGGTGACGTTTCTCGGTTCCCAAAATGGGAAAAAGCGAAGGTTCCCACAATCCTCGGGCTGGCAGGACTCGCCACAATTCAAAATGGCGGCGAGGGTGGGGCCACCCACCACGGGGGCGGTACCGCCGCTTCCCTCCTCCCAACGTCCGCCC